AAAAAAGTGCTGAAATCGGCGAAAATCAGTAAAAATCGCACATTTTTGGCTGAAATTTTTTTCAAAATATTTTTGTTTAACCGGCATTTTGGCGCCAAATTCAAAAAATTTGGGTGCTACGTTAGCCCCCGATTTTCAAGCTCACCTTCTCCAACAACGCAGCCGTCGTTCCCAGATTTCCGGCGGTTGGCGCTGTGAGGATCACCGCGGCGCATTCGCGAACGTTGGCGACAAATCCTTGCGACTTGTCGGCGAACCCGCCGTCCAGCACGTAGACGCCGTCGAAGTCGAACAACGACGCGGTGTTGGCCTCACCGCCCAAGACGTAGACGCACGCTTTTGAGGACATGATGTACTCCTCACCCGGCATTCTGGAAAAAATGAAGAATTAAGGGAGAAAAATCAAGAAAACTAAGAGAAAGTGACCCAAAACTCATGAAAAATTTATAAAAAAGAGTAGAGCCTCGAAAAATGAGAAATTTGAGAAAAATCAAGAGAAAATGACCCAAAAATCGTGAAAACTAAAGATAAAAGAGTGCAAAATTCGAAGAAAAATGCATTTTTACCCCGGAAAATGCGAGAAAATGACCTAAAAATCATCAAAAATCTTTGAAAAACAAGACTTGGCGCGAATTTTCAAGCGAAAGTGTTTGCGGAAAAGCTCAACACCATGACGCCAGATTGCAGAAATCGAGCTACAGTAATCCAAATAAAAACTTTCAATGAAAAAAGCTAATTTTCAAGCTCCGAAGCTGAAAAAAGAAGCTAAAAACCCATAAAAACGGATGGGGAAATGAAATTGCCATATTTCGACATATTTAAAACTAGCATGTTTCGTAATAGGAGCCGAAGAGGGGGCGGAGCTCCGCGAAGTTAAAATTAAATATTTAAAATCGCTTTTTTGTTCATTTTTAGCCATTTTTTTTTCCAATTTTTCACCGTTCCAAATTGTTTGTCAGGTTAAAACACACATTTTAAGTATGTAAGTAGCTAATTTAAACAGAATATTGAAGAGAAAATCAATTTTTAAGAATTTTTCTAAAAAATCGATTGCCTTTTTTATTTATGGTCGGAATTAGCAGATTTTGCACTTAAAATGTGTGTTTTAAACTGACAAACAATTTATATAAACGAAAAGTTGAAAAAAAGGCGAAAATTTTTTTTTAATTCGAAAAAAAATTGTATTGTCGCAACCGCGCTCCACTGCACCAAACGCTTGCAGTCTGATAGGGAATTTGAATTTTTTAGAACTTGTTGAAATCTTGCGAGTCCGAAAATTCTAGAAAAGGGAAAAAAATAAAAAAACAAGCCAGAGACAAGTCTCTCGGCCACACTAACACCAACCGACTAATGTCGTTTTGAACAAATACAAATACAAAAAAAAACCATTTTGCCACCACTAGCCTAGCATTCGGAGAGAGAGAGAGAGAGACGGGGAGCCAATGTGTTTGTGAGTGAGCGCTTTCTTCTTTTTCGCTCCATTCCGTGTGAGCGACGGGACGGGGACGGGGGACGATGAGTGAAGAAGAACATACTAGAAGAACGCGAGAGACATAGAGAGAATTCTGTCTCTCTCCGAAAACATCAACAACCTGCTTGATGTGTCTGTGTCTATTCTACTACTAGTGTGTGTGTGTGTGTGTGTGATGATTAGTGTGTATGTGAAATTTTTTATTTCGGAGAGAGAGAGAGAGAGAGAGGAGAGAAGAAACCATATGGTTTGGAATAAATTACTCTTGGTGGTGTCTGTTTTTTTTTCTTTTTGAAAAAAAGATGAAGAAGCTGTTGAGAAGAACTAGGGGCACAAAAAAGCCGTTTTAAAAAATTATGTTGTAAAAAGTGGCAATTAACTACAGTACGCAACTATGCACTTAGAACTCAATTATCTCGATTCCTGTGAAAGATATCAAAAAGTTGTCAACTGATAAAATGTTTATCATAATATCAAACATATTTTATCAGTTGACACCTTTTTCATATCACTTATAGGAACAGAAATAATTGAGCTCAAAGTTGAAGCTATGTAAAGATCGTGTGAAAAATTCAGAAAACATGGAACTACACTGGAGAAGCTTAAAATTGGGCAACTTTTAGCTGAAAGAAACATCTACCGTGTAATCTATCGTATAAGTTCCATATTTGCTTTAATAGAAGCTCACCCAAATCGTCAAATTTGAGCTCAATCATCTCAATTCCTGTGGAAGATATCAAAAACTTGTCTACTGATAAAATGTTGGTTAATTTATGACAAACATTTTATCAGTTGACAGTTTTTCGATATCTCTTACAGACACCGAGATAAATTGGTTGAAAGGGACAAGCCCCTCCCTCTTACCTCTCTGATCTCGGGTGGTCTGATTACTTTGAGCTCAATTATCTCGGTTCTCATAAAAGCTATCAAAAAACAGGCAACTGATAAAATGTTTATTATAACATCAGTAACATTTTATCAGTTGACACATTTTTGATATCTTTTATAGCAACTTAGATAATTGAGCTCAAAGAGCAGGCTATGATAACTTCTAAAAAAATAAGGGGCTATGAAAGGAGGTCAAATTTTTGTGAGATTTTTCCGGAATTTTCAGAAATGCAAAACAAAAATTTAGGGCTTTAAAATTAGAAAATTTACCTAGAACATCCAATAAAAATAGGTTGACTAATAGTAAAGCAAAAAACAATTACTGTATTTCCTCTAATTGAAGTCCACCCAAGCAGGCAACTTTGAGCCCATATAACTCATTTCCTATAGAAGATATCAAAAATGTGTCAACTGATAAAATGTTTACCATAATATTAGTAACATTTTATCAGTTGACAACTTTTTGATATCTCTTACCGAAATCGAGATATATAGACTCAAAGTTGACTGTTGGAGGGCGCTTATTTAGTGTTTATGATTTGTTTGCACTTTGAGCTCAATTATCTCGCTTCCTGTAAGAGATATCAATAACTTGTCAACTGATAAAATGTTTGTGATATTATGATAAACATTTTATCAGTTGACAGATTTTTCATATCTCTCAAAGGAGCCGAGATAATTGAGCTCAAAGTTAAGGAGGGTTCTATGTCCGGTGTCTTGATTCTTAGTGGGAATAGCAAAAAGTTGAGAACTAGAAAAATGTGTAACTTTCTATTCTAGGCATTTCACTACTCAAAAACTAAGAAAACAGGGATAAAAGTGTGGAGGATCAACCATCAGAGCAGCCCTTAATCTTTACGAATCCTGAAGCTTAGGGGGTCTACTATATACATGAAATAGGAATCCCATTATTTGGATGTACATGGATAGATAGGATGGCTCAGATTGACAAGGAATGTGTGTGTTTTTTTGGGAAGGGTTTGGGAACACCTTCTGATGCTCCAGAAGACAACCTAGACTTAAAATCTAAGGGTCATCTAAAAATTTCCTCTAGCTCCTAAGCTTGGAAAAGTCTCCAGAAAGTTCTAGAACCTAAAAACCACCTTCTTCAAAAAGCCAATTTTGTTCTCTACGACTTCAGAAACCTTCTAGAACTAGAACCTAGAGCAACCTTCAAGAATCCTATTCTTCAAGAGACCCAAACCACTATATGTATCCATGTAATTCCAAAACAACCAGCCCAAAACACAAATGACCAAGAGCCATCTGGACACACACATGCACACATATTTGTGGTATATGTGTTTGCCTCGAGAATATATTATAATCCCTCCCTTGCCTCCCCTTTCCATGTTCTTCTCGCTTCTGACATATCAAAACTCCTCTCTCTGGGGTGTCGAAGGAAGAGGGTGTCAATCAAAAAGTTGGAGCCAATTTGGTTGGGAGGGAGGGGTTGTTTGTTGTCTAGGCCAGAACGGCGCCAGCGACACACCCTAGATAATTATATAGAGGGGAAGGTTGCCGGGGAGACAGGTGGCCGATGTTGTAGAGAATTCTAGGCCAAGGACTATAGATCGATCTTGGTTTATTGTTCATAGCTAGGGACCTAGCTGAGTAATAGGCTCAGAGCTAGCTAGCCTAGAACATAGCTGACATTGCTGACCTAGACCATAGCTGACATAGCTGGCCTAGACCATAGCTGACATTGCTGACCCAGACCATACCTGACATAGCTGGCCTAGACCATAGCTGACATTGCTGACATAGCTGACCTAGACCATAGCTGACATAGCTGACCTAGATCATAGCTGACCTGGACCATAGCTGACATAGCTGGCCTAGATCATAGCTGACATAGCTGACCTGGACCATAGCTGACACAGCTGACCTGAACCATGGCTGACATAGCTGACCTAGACCATAGCTGACATAGCTGACATAACTGACCTAGACCATAGCTGACATAGCTGGCCAATAGGCTCAAGAATCTAGCGGGTCGGACGGTCCAGACCTTTATCATCAGCCCCATGATCCAGCCTCTGGTCCAGGAGAATTTAGCTAGAAATAAAGGAGGACCTGCACATCTAACTTTACTATATTCCTAACTAGACGGAGAAGTTCGATTTTTGACAGAAACTTTTGTCAAAATTGACCTAGAGAAATGAAAATTAGATCAAAATGATCAGCAAAGTGCGAGGAATCGTTTGCAATTTGATTCTTAGTTTCAGCC